CTCTGGGGCTTAGGCCGAAAAATCTATTGTGTTCATTTTATTTTCTGCAACTTTACTTTCTATTTTGAGATTGTTTCTTTTAGATCTTGTTTTAATATCGTGTGACTTGGGCCTTTTCAACCACAAAAATCCATTAAGTCTGCTAAAATCAAATGGAGTCTATGTAATTTTATGTTTTTACAAAATTTCTTGTAAAAATTGGAGCATGCTAAAAAAAAGTTGATTATATATCTAAACAACCCATGTTAAAGGACAAAATCTCACATGGAATAAAGATGAAAACATAGATCAACTTATAAATGAATGTGATACTCCTCTTAATAAAGTTGACATTTTAAGATGAAATTCAAAACTTTAACATAGTATCAGAACTCATTAAGCTTCACAAGCAATTCGGTCCGATTAAGATTTTAAAAAAAATTGAGCACACGAATTTCAAGATTAGTCTGATCAAGCAAGCCACCATCTTGTGTGAGTATGTTAAAGGATAAAATCTCACATCGAATAAAAATGAAAACATAGACCAACTTATAAAGGATTGAACTACTCCTCTTAATAAGGCTGACATTTTAATATGGAACTCAAAATCTGAACAATGTTTAGGGATAAAATTTCACATCAATTGAAGTTGAAAATATATACCAATTTATAAGTTTCTAAGTTACTCCTCTTAATAAGATTGACCTTTTAAGATGAAATCTCAAATCTTAACATGGTATTAGAGACCATTATGCTCCAATGAGCAATTCGATTCGATTAAAACTAAAAAAATGAGTATACGGATTTCAAAATTGATCTGCTTAAACAAGCCACTATCTTGTGGTGGCATATTAAGAAATAAAATCTTACATCAATTGAAGCTGAAAATATAGACCAATTTATAAGGGTTTGAGCTACTCATCTTAATAAAGTTGACATTTTCAGATAGAACCTAAAATCTTAACAACCCAATCCTTCTTAAAATTGGTTTCAAATTGGATTTTCAGTTGCATTTCCAATAATAAAGCTACAAATCGATTTGATTTGGATACATTTCTGTTAAAACTTGAAGATTTTGCTACTTGTACATAAAAAAAATGTACATAATGTGATTGGATGGAAAAGTTAGTTATGTTTTAAACTGGTGAATGATAGTATCATGTTGTATTATTTAATTCATTATATAAATCTTGATGTACATGTAGCAAGATCCAAACTGAAATCCACATTCTGTAAAACTCAAAAAGTAAATATGTAGTTATAAGCTCACAAACTATTTCTTAACTCGACAATGTAAGACAATATAATAATTGCAATTCACCCCTCACTATAAAACTGAGGCCACAATGTCCCATATTCTCATTTGGGTGATTTTATGCAACCAACCTTCTACTAGGAAGAGAAATTTTAAAATAAACTCATAAAGGAAATGCGTGTAAGTTTATAATCCACAAATCAAGTCTCAACTAAACAACGTGAAACGCAATTAACATTATCCTCGGGGTCGATTATAACATTTAGGGACTCTTGGTTAACTTCAAATATGGGGTCCTATTAATTTTTTTTTTAAATATATGTAACAATAAAAAATAATATTTTTTATTAAATAAGAATATTCGAAGTTACTAAAATTTTAATCCAAAAACTTTCAAATGTGTAAATTAAATTTACTCTTACTAGATTTTTTTTTGATAGAAAATCAATAATCATAGAACTTCGTTTATAACAGACAATGTGACAAATCCATTCAACATTTTTTTTAACAATGTTGGCTAAACGTAAGATTTTATCAGCTTCAACTTTAACTTTCAGAAGCTCTTCTCAACAGATGCAACTGTAACTAACACTTCAATAACCTTTTTGATCTTTTCTGACAATCAATTTCTTACAATTTATAGCTCAAAAATAGCTCATATCTATCAATATCAAAACCTACATGCTTAAAAAATCTTAAACCTATCACACCAACACTGCAAACAATTATCATCCGTTGTATATAATCTTTATAATCAACAGAAACCCAAAACTATATTAACCTAAGTGAAAAAGAGTTTGATCAACTATATATAAGAAATAATCAACTCTAAAAGGATTTTCAACCGAATATATTATCTCATCATTGACATTTTCATCAAAGTGCTTCTTTATATGAATAATGCACTTTTCATGTAAATGGCTGAATTTGGGGGTGAAAAATTGAGGATGACTAAACAAGCAAAAAAATAAAATAAAAGTTGAAATGCCATGTAACAAACAAAAGCAACGAGGAGGAGAAAGAAACAAAAAAAAAAAAAGGGAAGTAAAAAGGAGAGAAAACATAGAGCTAGCCTCAAATGAGAAAAAAACAAGAAAAGGAAAAGAAACAAAATGAAAAGTCACGGATGTTTTTCCACGAAAAACACTTCGAAGAATATAAAACATTTTAATTTTTTATTATTATTATCTATAAATATAATATATAATAATTTGGGGCCATAGTCAAGGTGAGAGACTTGAATGATCGCCTATCCCACCTATAGTCAGGTCGATACTGATTACACTTCTGGTTACCAGTAACCTTAGGAGACAACATTTGGACTTTTACCTTTGACAAGAAATTTCCCCAGTGAAGCCTAAACAAGCATAAAGAAGAGCAAACAAATCTGCAACAATAATATAACTTTCAAGCTCACCAATACATTGTTGTTTATGCAGTAAAAAATGAGAGTGCAACCATAACATGTGCTTGTGATTCAGGATTGAGGATACCGAGTATATAAACATGTTATCGGTATAAATTAGCCTATTTCTGCAGTCGTCCGGCCACTGCCATGCGGTAAAGCTTTAGTTCTGTAAAAGGTTTCTTTATTTACAACACCTAACTATGCAAATTAGCTGCGCATATTGCAGTTGATGCCCACAAAACATATCCATCTAAAACTCTGCTTAGATCACTTACAACGGCTACATTCATCTAAAACATATCCCAGTAGAAAGTTCACTATCAAATTAATATCCAATCAGATCTTTTCCCCACATCAGAATGTCTTCCAGCGACATTATTAAAACTCCAACCATCGACATTGAACTAGGTTCTTCTGTATTTATTATCAATCACAATTTTGAGACTACCTACAAGTTCATGGAACGCACTCTCCGCAGAACCCTTGGAGGTCTCTTTCCCTCTACCACTGGAATCAGGTTCTCCATAAGCTGCACGTGAAATAAATGAAAAAAGGGAAAAAGTTGTAGCTGCAGTAAAGAATTCTATATATGGTGGATGAAATAAATGGAAATAGAATGGCATATGTACACAGTATGGTAATGAGTACCCAAAGAATGGACATGGGAAATCAGGAGATATTGACATGTCGTCCATCAAGACAAAACTCAAAAATAGGCGCCAACAATTAAGGCCAGATAAATTAAATTTGACATTGACATCCTAGCAAATTTTTTCTAAGAGACAACTTCAGATCCATTGTTACGATGGGTTTAAAGCATGCTATTACAGAATTGATACAGTGCACCATCTTAAAACCAATCACCCTACTGGCAATGTGTCCACACGAATCTACACAAGCTATTTTGAAGATCTTGACATGCGACAAGTTTACAAGATGAATTAGTATTACCAGATCAAATAATTTAATTAGTAAACGATATTAATTCTCTCTTGCAGATAGTGTTGTATATAAAATCAGGTATAAACATTGAAATCCTGCAACCACCATGAATAAAATATCTCATAACAGCACCAGAAAGAGTACAAAATAAGATGGAAGAGGGCCAAAAAGGAGAATTGTGAGTAAAAGCTAAAACTAAAGCATTACTGGTCTAATTTCCTGTACAGACTACAAATCAAACACTAAGAAGTTCAACTAAAAATTCAACCTTAGATAACACTCAGCGGTGTTAGCCTGATACAAATGCAGTATGTCCACTCAATAGGATCGAAGTACATAGGCTAATAGCCAGGAGAATGCAGCACACCATAGCAGAACTGATTAAAAATAGATATTTTCAGAAACTATATAGCATAATCTTATTTATAATTTAAACTTGTTACTTTTCAAGAGATACCACCACACACGAATTGTTCACAATTTAGTACTACTGTAAGATCTCTACCATAGCTCCAATTCTATTCAAATTTATAATACACTGTTTCTCTCTATCCCATCTTACCTTCTATTCAAATTCTCCTTGATAATTCTATCATGAAAAGTTGTCGAGAATGTGTTGATAAGTGGCATATAATTTTGAGAAAGAAAGATACGTGTTTCAGCATGCACATTATACAAGAGAAAAGTCCACACGTGGCTTGAACTATCCTAAAATTATAGTTCTATCTACTCTAAACTTTTACGACACCGCTATAAAATCATCTTACACACATTCATGCTAACAATTATAAATAAGTTTCTGAGAACTTCTACATTAATTTTTCTGTACCTCAATCACTCAATTAGGTAACTAAAAAAAACGACTAAATAGCCCGATATTTAAAATAAAACATAAGAAATGGAGAGATAAATTCAGTTACATGCATTTTTCGCTTTCTCCAGATATCATGGAACACTAGTTATCATCTATAATTATTTTCAGCAATTAGTTCATGCATATAGATTGACAAGAATAAATGCTCATGCAGGCTAAAGTAAAGCCATAAAGTGAATATTTGTGGTAAATATGATTAATAATAGACATAATTAATGATATCACATCCTCCAGCCAGATAAAAATCAAAACAATCAGCACTACAAATATAATGATCTGTAAAATGAACTGAGATATTTTATCTACAACAACTACTAGTCAAAGGCAAAATGAAAATTATTTTAGTTTAACTCCCAATACCGAGGCAGAAAAGGTAGAGACATCCAACAAAACGCTAAAACATCAGCAAAGGGAGTACTTTTTATTGATTTAAGTAAGGAAAAAGACATTTCTATAAATTGTGTACAAAAATAAGTTTGTAAAGGATTCATCTATAATATGCAAATTCACATGTATACCATATTCTTGTTACGATATCACGGCTAGATCACCAGATGCACATGATACAATTCAAGATGTAGTTTTTTAATATTCTCCAAGAAAAACAATCAGTTGCTCCATCAGCAGCATAAAAGTATGAATATACCGGATGACATTCATTAACATTCAAGGCACGGCATATGCAAATAAAAAAATCTTTAAATTTCCTGCAAATTTCCCTTGAGAAAATTATTTACAATTGAATGGTCATGTATTGCAAAATTCCAGATAGGCAAAAGTAATCAGTCAAGGACAGCTGTGAAAGAGATAAAACTAAATAACCTTTCAACTCTTATATCCAGAAAAATTAAGGAATAAAGGAAAAAGATGCGGCACATTACTCTAAAAAGGGTCAAAACTCTACCTGTTTATACCTCTTCCTATTCTGCTCAGCCTGCAATGGAAAAATAATTTTAAGAACTCCCAAATACTAGAAATCAAGATGAACAAACTTGAGACTTAGAATTTAACAAATACTGATTCAGCAAGTCAAACGAAAGGAAAAAAAAGCCACTTGGTCTTTGTCGGGGAGCTGCAAGTAAGTTAACATAAGATTCCTATAAGCAGTATACCATCTATATGCGTAGAATCATCCAGCATACAGCATTGTTGGCTAAGCTTAAAAGCCCATGAAAAGAGGCAAGGGGCTTTTAAGCTTTAGCCAAATATGCTCTATATGAAGNGGGGGGGGGGGGGGGGGGGATAAGAAGTGCAATAACATCCTGAGTAGAATTTGGCCAGATTATGCCCTTCAAGATTCAGTATTTAGCAGCAGTTTATAACACAATCGAACCATCTAATTGCCCATTCTTTCACAATTGGTTGACAGTCCAGCCTCTGAGTGTTAAGAATCAATTATTTTTAATCAAAAAGTTGTCTTGTCATCAAAATGCACATAATGAATACATGAAGAGACCTTAAAATCATACCTCTTCTCTCAAAAGCCTTGCATTTTCCTCCTCTAGTTGTGTCACTAATGTCTCCAACTCCACAGTATAAGCCTGTAAAATCAGGCCAAATTAACTCAAAAACCTTCAGAACGATCGAAACAATAAATAGAAACAAAAATTAAATGAAGAAAAAACCTGCTTCCGTTCCCTGGACCTGGCAGCAGACTCTCTGTTTTTTATCATTCTCCTCTGCTTCTGCTGAGTGGCCTTATCGAGCACAACTTCTTCGAGGGCCCTACGTTTCCCTCTACCACTGCCACCGCCACTCCGACCCACAACCACCATTCCATTTCCAAACTCCATCCCATATCCTCCACCTGTTGATCCATTCTGCATGCACACCGCCGGAGCAAACTGCCCTGAAGCCTCCACATCCACCACGGAATTCACCGTCGCATCCACACCAAACGCCGCAGTGGCAGGAGGAATAGGTGCCACCGTCACCGCCGGAACCCTTACATCCTCCTCACTCACCACCCCTTCCTTCGTCAGAAAATCCTCCAAAGTCATCGCCGGCTCCACACCCCCACCCCCATTTCCACCTCCAATTACAATTTCCCTCCACACCTCATCCACCGTCCTATTCGCATCCCCACTACCATTTCTCATTCCTCCACCAGCACCACCACCGTCCACAACGGCATCGCCACCTCCGATGCCGTTATTCTCCACGGCAAACGAATCGGAATCAGAATAAATATTCTTCAAAATTTCCTCCATACTCATAGACCCCAAATTCCGAGTCTGATCAGTAACTGAAACTAAAGAAGAAGAAGAAGGCGAAGTTTGACGCGGCCTATCCGGATTGGGTGGTGATGTTGACGCCATCACCTTCGACGACGCCATTTGAGCCGATTTTCTCGGAATTCACTCAGATTTTTCTCGGAGAAATTTTCTGCTACTGAATCGAAAATCAAACCTTGTTATCGTTGAGCAATTCCCAACTTCAAGACTCTGAATTTTTAGAGAGAGAGATAGAGAGAGTCTTCAGGACAGTTCGAATTAGAGAGAGGACAGAGAGAGGAAAGTACCAAACAAATGTCTGTTTGCAGGAGTAGTAGATAAGACCAAAGGGAGTTTCAAACACGTTTTCTTTGGACAGACGTGGTCAAGGGTATATTTGTAATTTTACTACATTGTTTCTATGGAATTTCTCCTTTAAAAAAAAATTAAAATCGTAAAATGAAAAATAATCCGACTAGAATACCCTTTTTTTTAAAAAAAATAATTTGGCTGGCGTTTTTAAGTCCCGTTCGCTAAATATTTTTTAAATAAATTTTGCAAAAAACATATTTACAGAATATATGGTTAAAAAATAGAATAATACAATTAAACATTACTAATGCTGCTACACCATTTTTTTTGTCCCATTTTACTAAAGAGACTCGAGTACACAGAAGTCGTCGAAACTTTTGAGTATCGTCCCTTTTCTTTATGTGTTGTGTAGAACCACTAACAGTACGTGATTATTAATTTTTATTTAAATTTAGTTACGTATTTCGGGTTTGTTTTGACTTCCATTTTCTTTTAGAATAGATTTTATAATAATAATTTTTTTTAATCATCCCTCCCTCATTTTGGTTTACCTAACAAAATTAATAATATAAATCAAAGTTAATAATTAAATTTAATCACACATTTTTATGAAATACATAACTATTATTAACTTTTCAATTACACATTTTGTCAACTTTTACCAAAATATACTAAAAATATATCTTTAACAAAACAAAATAGGGCATAGCTCCCGTTTGATAAATATTGTGAAAATTTTAAAAAATTTATGGTAAAAAATAACGAAAAAATTATGATTTCACGTGTAAAATATTTTATTAAAAGAAAAAGTAGTTAAAATGAATTTAGAGAAAAATGAAGGCCAAATAGAGCTTCATGTCATGTTTGTTTTTGTCATATTTTATGGGAAAATGTAGGAGTGAAATGTGAGAATATGATGAATGAAACAAATGATATGTTTTTACCTCAATTTTCGTGTTTGGTTGGTAAGCTGCAACAAACTTTTCAGATGGCAGTTGGCCAAGGTTTCCTCACTTGTTTGTATTTTCAATGTACTCGTGAAAAAAGTCAAAAAAAATCAATTTGTTCAAATTTTCTTTTTTAAAGTATGAAAATATTTATGAGGCCTCCACATATAAGCTTAAAAAAAGGAAAAAAATTCATGAATAAGTTGTTTAGTTTACATCAATTCAAAAATCGTATTTATAGTTTGAAAATTCAAAAATTAGACTTATTTTTTTTTAAATTCTAATATAATATAATATAATAAACTCACCCCACATGCACCACCCTTACCACTCTGGCGACCACTCTTCTCCGGCAACTATTCCGACGACCATTCCGACAATAATTCCGATCACAGATTTATAATTTAATTAGTCACATACTATTTTTCAGTCACAAATAATAATTTTTATACGTCACAGATTATTTAATGGTCACAGTTCAAAAATTTTATAAGTCACATTTAATTCGTTGGTCACATATTTCAAAATTAGTTAGCCACAGATCAAAATTTATAGGTCACACGGTCAAAGATTTCCAAATTAGTTGGTCACGGATTTTTTACGGTCACAGATTATATAATTTTTAGGTTATAGATAAAAAAATGATTAATTTCATTGGTCACATATTTTCAAATTTGTTGGTCACGGATTATTTTTCAGTTACATATTGTCAAATTTTTAGGTCGCAGTCAAATACTTGGTCACAGATAACCAAATACTTGGTCACATACCACTGAAATAAAATGTGACCTATAAAACCAAATAGTTGGTCACGTACACCAAAAACCCAACCCCCGGTCCCGATCTACCAATAGTTGGTCACGTACACCAACCGACACGACCGCCAGAAATCATCATAGCCTCCAGGACCTCACCAAAATCGCCGCCACATCCGCCACAGCCACCAGTTCATCTAACTGCACAACCAACAAAAATATCTAAAACCCCCCGATCAACACCAAAACACCACCAACACCAGAACCACACCCAATCACCACAACACCACCACCACCAACACTGCACACCACCGCAATCGCAATCGCAACCGTACCACCTCAACACCACATCGCACCACCGCGACAATGACAACCACCGATCCAAAACTACAGATCTGAAAACATAGATCCAAACCACAAATCCAACACACGCATCTAACTCTGCCAACACCAAAATCAAAGCTTACTCTACCTCCAACTCCGTCAAATGTTGCGCGATGCGTTGTAGTTTTGCACCTGATTTTTGCACTTGGATCTTCAAATGTCTGGAAATATGTAATCTCCTCCTTCAAAAAGGTGAATTACATACCAACGTAAACATTAGCATTTGTATTAGTGGTGTTAATGGGCCAGCCGGCATTACGTACCAACCTATCCGTTAGTATTAGGGGTTGTCAATTAGCTTGTGGCTCATGGCCCTTAAGCTTGTGAGCTCACGAGATGCCACAAACTCAAGTTTTTTTCAAAATTTTTTGAAGTTACCAAATGACATTTGATCACTTTTTTTAAAGCCCACAAGCTCGTGGATCATGCCCACAAGCCGCCCACGAGCTCACTGTACGAGCATCCAGTTCGGTTCATGCTTGGGCTTGTCTCGACATGAGTCGAGTCACTCTTGGATTGAGTTTCGAAAAGTCAAACCGACGAGCTACTCAACCCTTTTGCCACCTCCAATTTGTGTCATGATCGTTGAGGTCAACCAAAGCATAAGGCACATCGTGCTGAAATACTATTAGTAGCAAGACTAGTATGACCCTAACATTTGAATTAATCCAAACGGTGAAAATAAATATCTCAGCTCGACCTCAACATACAGATCATTTTAAGTGAAATTTTAGCACAGTCAACTCGACTTGATCTTTCATGCAAAATCATGCACGAACATAACAAATTACAAGAAGTGTCACAACAGCACAAAATTTGATTCAAATTTTGGAACTTGCACTTAATCATGAAAAAGGTTTCTGCTCATGAAAATGACCAAAAAGTCCCTAAGTTCGTCTATGAATATCAAGAAAAATAGTTAAATCAAATGTTAAAAAAAGCTAAAAGAACAAAAAATTTATTGGAAAATTTTGGCAGCAACTCCCCTGGGAATTGTTGTCAATTCCTCCCTTCTTTTTGATCATTTTGCACAATTTTTCTTAGAAAGACCCAAAGCTGAAATCACCAATTAATTTCGCATTCCTCCCTAATATCTAAATATTGTTAGTTAATCAAAATATAATGTCCGTCGCTACTAAGCTCGCGTTCATCAGTGAGGGTCGCAAATATTTATTCACCGAACTACCAAATTTCTCATATCAAGTCTTGACTCATTTATTAATATTAGAATGTTTCAATAAAAAAATTTTAAAAAATTATAACTTGCCACTTAATCTTACAATAAAAAGGTATGATTCCCCCATTAAAAATCTTGTTAGTTAAAATATTTAATAAATTAATAAGATTTTTACATTAAATTTGAAAAATCACTCATAATTTTTACTTGTCACAAGAGTAAATAGACATATATTATTTAAATCTAAAATTAATAAATTAATTATGTATCAAAGTGTAATATAAATTGGAAAATCTCAACTTTTTACTACTCTCTTTTCCACATTAGAATATTCATATACCTCATGTACTCTAAACTCTAAACCTTTTACTCTTATTGAATGAACTCTTATACCAATGTTCATATATTATACATGTTACCAAAGTAACTTGGGGACTCTTGATAATTGCATAATAAAAGGTATAGATCAATTTATTAATATACTTTAACTCAATTTAATTTTTTCTAACATAATAAATTCTAAATTTCAATGTAAGCTATTCGATAAATATGAAACTAATTATTTAGCGGGAAAATACATAACTCCTAATTTTAAAGANTATACTTTAACTCAATTTAATTTTTTCTAACATAATAAATTCTAAATTTCAATGTAAGCTATTCGATAAATATGAAACTAATTACTTAGCGGGAAAATACACAACTCCTAATTTTAAAGATTACATTTCATAAATAACAAACTCATTAAAATATTTCAAAAATCAGGTGGTAAATAAATTTATTAAATATTAAAATATAATATAATATACATTAATTATTTCTATCTATGTCATCTCACCTACCCCATCCTATCACCCTACTACACCACATTCCCTCCACCTCTCTACCGGAGATGGCCATCATCTCCGGCGATCACTCAGACGACTGCTCCGACGGTCACTTCAGTAACTGTTCTGACGGTCACTTTGTCGGGCGCTCCGACAACTATTCCGACGGTTGCTCCGATGACTCAAAGATTTTCAAAAAATTAAAAATTGAAAATCACACCCCCACCCCCATTGATCCACCTACCACCACCCCATCCCTACCTCCACCTTCTAAAAAATTACCGGAAAAAGAATTTGTGTTCAGTGTGTCTATATGTGACTAATTGTGACGAAGTTTATATTCAATATGACAAACTGTAACCAAATTTGTGTTCGATGTGATCGTCTGTGACCAATTCAATCTTAATTGCAAGTCACAATCGGTTACAATTAACCCAAAATTGGTCACAATCAGTCACAACTAACACATGATCACATAAGGTTATAAAAAATCAAATCTACTTCGTAGATCGACAGAAAATAATTGATTTTTATTATTCTGCACTAAATTTTTTTCTACCACCATCAACCATCACAACCCACATCACCACCGCTACATCCTCTTCTAAACCACCGCTGCATCCTCAATAACAACCACCATCGCTATCTCTACATTGAGAAATGATAATATCTACGAAGAGGAAGGCCAAAGCAGATCACAAAAACTCGTACCACACTCCACCCGCCATCGACACCGCTACCAACACCACCAACCTACCTTACCATCACAACCACACACAAATCACAAAACTACAATCGCCGGAAAACCCCACCAGCGAAGCTCATCACCCAAAACTACAAACTACAAACATCACGATGCTCAACTACAAATCGCAACCCACAGTTCGACATCGCCGGTCAACATATCCAGGCGTTGTGTAAATCGAGAAGCGACATTGCGTGTGGTGGCCCTTCATGTGGTTGTTCGAAGTGAAGTGGCCCTTCGACATCTCGGAGTGACGAGTTGCAGCAGACGCCACTCGGTGGTGGTGGCGTCGAGCACAGTGGTGGTTGTCACGGCGTTGCTTCTAAAAAGTGACGTGGTTCGATGGTGGCGCCTTGAGCACAGTGGCTATGGCGTCTTGTCCGACGGTGGTGGCATTAGCACAGACAGAACCGACGACGCTACTCCACGATAGCTGCCGGTGGAAACCACATCCAGAGTGCGTGCAGCAACGCTTGCCGTTGTGGCCGATTTTACTCTGCCATGCGTGGCCAGGCCAGAAATGGAGTCTGGTTGGATGAATGGCAGGTGGGTGGGTGAGAAGAGATGAGATGAGAGAGAGAATGAGTATTGAGAGAATGGTGGGTAGGATTTTGAAATGAATGGTACGTGTATGGGGTTAGGTGAGGTGAATATGTAGATATTAGGTTTAATTAAATTTTTATTAATTGTAATTCTTAAAACTTAATTACCGCCTAATTGTGAAATAAAAATTAATCCAGCTGTTTTTTGAAAATGAAACTTTAGAAATAGGTTTTTAGGTAATTTTCTCTTACTTAGCCCTTGTTTGAGCCTATTTTATCAAAAAATCATTTTTTTTAAAACTCATTTTCAATTACACATTCTTCGATAAATTAATTTTACACGTAAATAAAAAAAAAATGTTGTTTTTTAATCAAGTTCTTAAAAAAATTACCATTCTAAAACATATTTTTTCCAATACGCCAAAAGGGCTAAAAAAAAAGAAAATTCAAAGTTAGAGAAACTCTATCCTAATTTTTTTCCCCCAAAAAGAGTTATTAGCACAAAATGTCCATACATATGGAGTTCATTGTGAAAAAAGTCCCAACGTTTTTTTTTTTTTTTTGCAATTTCATCCTTATTTCAACATTTCATTGCGAAAATCATCATTTTCATTCATCTTCATCCAAAAAAAATTGTAAAATGACAAAAATAACCTTCTATTTAAATAAAACATATAGAAAGAAAAAAGAAAAAATAATAAAGAACTAATTGCAACAATTGTCTCAATTTTTTTAAAAACGTACAATTGAGCCCAAATAAATTATTAAAAAATAAAAATAAATATGTTGCATCTTGTCCAAATGTGATACTAATAAAATGTCCAAAAAGAAGAAGATCTAGGTGCCATTCTCTTCTTGAACTTTACTTTGGGATTCCCTCCGCCTTCTAAATAAACATTTATCCGAATATTCTCTAAATTTTGGTTGTTGAAAGAATTAGAAACCCGAATTAATGAAAGAAAATCAGATTTGGTGTTTTCTTTTTGGGTTTTATAATTATAGCTTAAAACAATAGTAGATTGATCTTTCCTCTTCAATTCTTAAAGATTTTCAGCTGGATTTGTGCTTCTTTTCGATTAAAGTTAATATTTGAGGGTGGGATTTGCATTTGAAATTCATTAACCCCAATTAACCCATTTCGGATTCCAACCAAAATTCCCAAAACTCTAATCAAAACGAAGATTTTCAAAGTTTTAGTGAATCTTTACACGCCCAAAATTCAATGTTTCCCAGCAATGCCCTTTAAGAAAATGGAAATTGATCTTGGAGTGAGGAGGTGGATAATGGTGGATCAGTTTTAAAGAACTTGAGGAAGAAAATGGACGGTGGATTTAAGAAAAATGGTGGTAGGTAAAACAAGAGAAAATGTGGGTGTGTGGGTCAGAAAAGAAAATGGAGTTGGAAAGGATTTTCCGTTTACTTGAAGAAGAGAAGAACGGGAGAAAAATGTTCTAGGGAAATGGGAATCTTGTGCTTCAAAAGAGTTTCGACAGCGACGGTGGTGGTGGGAAGAGGTTGTCGAGAAAAGAGGAAGAGCATGAAGTGATTTTTGTTTTTTTTAGTTTTATTTTTAATTATTTATTTGAGATCCATTTGTAATTTTTTTGAAAATTTTGGAATTATGATTACAATTAGTTTTTTAATTTTTTAAAAAAATATGAGGGCATAATCGTCATTTCATAACTCTTCGTTGAGAAATTAGATGAAAATGATGATTTTCGCATTAAGATGTTGAAATATAGGTGAAAATGCAAAAAAAAAAAAAAATGTAATGTTTGGATGTTTTGCACAATAAACTTTATACTAAAGGCGTTTTGTGTTAATAACAGGAAATATATCAGGAACGATAAACACCCAGGCTCAGGAATTGGTGATGGTGCTGCGTGTCAGCACCTGTGTGGTTGTTTTTTTTCGAATTGTCTAATCAAATGTTGACTAGTGCCCCCTGTTTTTTAAATCCGGTCACTTGAATAACCCTGTTAGGGTAGCATTGCTCGAAATATATTTTGTGCATTAAAAGCCTCTGTAATAGGGAAAATCGGACTGCCCTATCGGTGGACATTCAAGAACACGCTCTAGGAAGCGAGTGCAGCCGAATTGCGCCTGCCTACGTGTCTATCCGCCAAATGGTATTAACGTTAGAGAGCGCGTGAATGTGCACTCCGTTGACTCTATTAGTTTGTAAATTATGTAAATATTAATAATTAATTCATGCCGGCCGGAGACTAGCGGGTTCGGTCCAAAAAATAATAATCGAAGACAAAATTACTATTGTCTCCTTATTTAAATAATCAATTTTGACCGAACAAAATGTGAATAAAAAAAATGAATGCCATCGAGTAATTGTTTTGTCTCCTTATTTAATAGATCATTAAGCAAAAGTCCACTAACAATAATAATAAGTGGACTTTGAAAAGTTTGCCTTTACCAATTGATTCTCAGCGACTTCTAAACAAGTAAAAAATCTTATTCGTTTAGATTTATAAGATAGTATAACATTCAAAAGATATATTATTTTGAAATATTTTCACTAATTAGTACAATCAACTCATTCATCATTAATGTGCAACAGTTATGAGATGTACGTTAAGCACATTATTAATCGATCTGGGTAAGAGACGATTTTAAGGACGAAATCAAGAAGTCAAAATTTCGCAACAAAGATGAAAATCATCCAACACTGATTTTGAAGATTCATGAAGAGTCTAGAGAAGAGATGAAGTCATTTAATTGAAACATCACTGCAAAATCGACGTTAATGGTTAGCTCTAATAACAACTATGTAAAGATTATGAAGCACCAAAAATAATCCGTGACAGTTGGCTCTATAAGTGAGCATTAATATGAAATGTATTTGAATGGCTGCCTCACTGAAGTGGTCTAACTGTTGCATCATCAATGAAGAAACAATTATGTACAACTTTATCATTTATGGAATGTCAATTTAGTGCTTTATTTTGTACATGTAAAAATATTCAAAAATTCATGAAATTTATGCCTTAAACCAGGTGCTTAACGGACCTTTCACTTTATTTTGTAATAATCAAGTTTCAATACGCAAATAATTCAAACAATAGTTGTTTCGCACTATGTTTACTTGCCAATTTTGAATAATTTACATGAACCGTAAGTTGGAACTTAAATGAGTTTTCAGAATAATGATACAAATCGTCAAGTGCCTAATTCTGCATATTGGATTTTGGTTATACAACAATTATCATAACCAATTATGTGAAGTGATATAGCTCTATAAGCCATTTTGCGCTGAAAATAAATGCCAACTTACCAGATGGCTACCGAAACAATTAGTTGATCTTAGTCCTCGTCAAAGCCAACATCAAAACCCTCTCCTTCTCCGGCATCTCCCCAATCATTATCCTCTGGTAGTGCCGCGTCAGCATTGCTAGCAAATCCATCAACGGGCACATCCACTTCCATATCATCATGAGGGGCCTCGAGTCCTTCCATGGATTCCTTTACTTCCATTGATTTGAGATTTGACTCACTGAAAAATTCATTGTAGGGCTTTGCAACCTGAGTGTTATTAAGAAAAAGGAGAATTTTCAGGCACAAGAACTTCTAGACAGTTATGCAACTGAGATCAAAGCATGCTGTAATGAAAGAATTCAAGATCAGAACAGAAGCATTAGGAGATTCGTACTACTCATACGATCCTTCTTCTCACAGTCAAAAGTAGGATTCGAAACAAACGATAAAATCAAACTTGGTGCATATGGGAGAACAAGTGTTGTCGCTTCACAAGCATATACTATGCAGGGATATCATGCTCTGTGATAATTTGCCACTTAAGTGGATACTCTACCTTGATCAGTACATTTCTCTGTTCTGCACTTTCAACCAGGTTCTTCCAATGGTCGTCTCTTTTCAATGTGGATGCAGAACCGACAACCTAGTATAGTAATAAAAGCTCTCTTGAAATCAAGGGATAAATTTCTGTGAATATGAGAGCCAATCATTTATTTTTGATAAAGCTATACCAGGACAGATGATCTGGCTCTAGTTATACCAACATTCATTCGGCGAAAATCAGCAACAAATCCAATGCCTTTATCTTTACTAGCCCGAACACATGAAAAGATAGCAACATCTTTTTCGCGTCCCTGTAAAAGAGAGTTTGTTCAACTTAATCAAGAATCATCTCTAGCACAACAAGTGAACAATAAAGGGACTCAATGTATGGGGACTCAATGTATGACCATCATGAAATAAAGTCCATACCAAATTTAATCCACGTAATTTAACAATGAAATGAAACTACTTGCCTGAAATCCATCAACAGTGTTGATATCTACTACTTTATCCGACTCCACGCCGAAAGTGTTACGAAAATTTTCTCTGAGAAGCTTGACTTGATGTCTATATGGGGATATTATTGCGAGTCGGGAACTGGACTTTAGTTCTGGATATCTGCTCACCAATTTACTATATAAAGAGAGGACAAACTCAACCTCATCAACGTTTACCCAAGAGCCATGTCCCGATGGTTGGGACTCATTTCCATCATGAATGTCAAAAAAGCAAAATGGTCCGAAGCATCGAAATTCATGCCATGAGCGCTTTGTCTGGTCTTGGACGTCAGGTCCATCTTCCAGTGCCTCATCATAAAATTCCCTCGAAGGAAAGCTTCTAATCTGGCATGATAATTGGATTAGAACTGAGTTTGTGCAATTATGAATTGGAAACTAGTAACAAACAGAAGACCACATGTTAACCTGTCGAATGAATATGTATACATGTTATTGATGAGGTTTCAAAATCTTAAGATATAATATGTTTACCTCTGGATGCATGCGATATTGGGTCTTCAGCATCTGAACTGGATAGCCAGCTTTCTGGAATCTTTTAAATAAGCTCATGCCATATCTACAACAGAGTTTCCAGAAATTGGAAATATATAATTAGAAAAGACTGGACGTTTAGAAAATACGAGTTTCTCTTAACATGATGCTGCTCGTACCCAAATTTTTCTGCAATAGGGGAGATTACAGTAGCTGGCAACTGCACTGGATCCCCCACCTGGATCAGAGTGTGTTAAAAATGACATGGACGAGTTATCAAAGTAAACTTGTATGAAATAATACGAAGTCTACATGCCAAAATATCCGAAAATAACAGTTTAACCATTTAGCAGGTGTTACATTGGGTAATTAGTATGTACAAATTTTACATCTCGAAGCATTTCTGCTGGTAATGTGGCCAAAAATTGGAATACTGATTTGGATAGCTGTTTTCCGTGTAGGATCTTTAACAAACATTTGTCATGTATATAAAATATCCAACAGTCAATTGAATAACAACCTGAATACTTAAGTAGAGCAGACAAACAATTTCTAAGAAACATCAGGATAACAAATTTCCAAACTTAGTTCATTAATGTTTTGATTAGAATAATCATGTCTTACATATCACACGTTAAACTTGCAGTTCCTGGGACAAGTTAGAGAGAATGTACATTGTGATCCTCTTGCCAGTGGAGGCTAACCTACTAATGTCAAAATCCTGTGCAACCGCTGTTGCAGCCTGTTGTCACGTTCCAGCAGCTCAAGGGCCGAACCGAGACAAAAACTATAGGAGAGAAAACAGAGAGTTCGAAGAGCTGCATGCGAGGGACCAAAGGGTGGGAAATTGCAGGAGATGAGAGTGAGAAGGCAGGGTGAAGGCAAATTACTGCAAGTCGAAGGCTAATGCAATAGCTTGCACAGGCAGACGCAGCTGACAATTGGGCACAAACAGAGACAGTAAAAGGCTGGGCGCTTAACAGACGTGGACATAGACAGGCAGTTGCAGCCATACTGCTTGAAAGCAGTCAAACAGCGTGCACAACTTAAGTTTTGAGGTGGGATTCCAAGGCATTCTAGAATTGTTCCTAATGCTAGAATGTAGAATGTTGCAAGGAAATGTAGAAATATTGTGGAGACAAAATTCTAGAATATTGTGTAGGAAGATTGTAGAGAGTACATAGAAGGTTGAATATACAACCTTTCTAGGAGAATTTAATATAATATCTTGATGGAAAAGTCCATATAACCACTCTCCACTGTAGGATCTTATAGCTGCCGGCCATAACATAAGACAGAGGGTGCAACTATAAATAGAGGCCAAGGTAGCCTCATTTCAATTTGCCCATAAAGAAATGAAATGAGATCTTAAGTGAGAGAGTCATAAAGAAGCCTTTGAGAATTGTAATACAAATTTTGTATTTACTTAACTCTCTTGTCCATCTTTGAGCACTTGTTAGTTTTCCCTTTCTTGTCTTATCGGTAAAGTGGTTGTTCCAACTATTGCACACATAGCGTCACCAATTGTTGAAGACTGATTTAACTTAGACTGCAAGGGCCAACATTTGAGGAGTCAAATGTCACAAAAGAACTTGGAATAGTCAAATCCATTACACCATGTTGCCTTATTGGTTAAGTGGTTACACCAACTATTGCACACCATAGCGCCACCAATTGTTGGAGGTTGATTTAACTTAGACAACAAGGTGAAATATTTGAGGAGCCAAATGTCACACTAGAACTTAGAATGGTCACATCCATTACACCGTGTTGCTTAGGATGTCACTTAACTGTTAAAATTGTTGTCACACTTCGATACATTTTCTGTACAAGCTATACCAACGTTACCTTTATAGTTTCAACTTTTTACATCCTTGTTTTCATGAAATGTTCAGGAATAAACATATAAAATAGCTAACAAAATTATCCTTAATAGATTATCCTACATCATTTGTTGTAAGAATCCAGTGAGGTGCTTAGTTCTATTAATGATCTTTGTCAAAAATAGTTACTAAATAGAACAAGCAACTCTAAGATTTTGTGTTTGAAACCTACCATTCGAGATTTTAATTCTGTAGCCTTCAACGAAATTGTATTCACTGCATAAATGTTGTAATTAAACTTATTTCAACATTTTGCCACAACACCAAAGCCACCGGTCCCTTCAAAACCCAACGTTTTATAGTACAAAACTCTTCTTCCCCCATCTTGGCATACCATCTCTTATTTTCTGGCACCAATTATTTCCTAACTGAATTACCAAACTAACTTCATGTAACCATCAGCTTCATATAACTAACTAGTGGAATTGAGTGACTAGAGCAGTTCATTCAATCCCTTCCCGTGTCAGCAACATCATTCTTCTTTCCCTAACGTGCATATATATAATGATTAGGGAGTCTATCAATACTTCCCTCGAAAACAATCATCTTGTCCTCGAGATGAAATGAGGGGTACTGTCGCTGAATCAATTGATAAGGTTCCCAACTCGCCTCATTACCTTCTACTAGATCGGTACCTTTAGACCTTGAAACTAGTTGTTAGAATTATGCCGCACACCCACTATAACCTCGGGTTCTACTAACAATTCTAATTCATCACTAAGCTGCCAAGGAAGAGGTGTACTCAATGACCTGTTTCAAACGGCTCTGCGCAGTAATATGACATGAAATACCGGATAAATATATGACACTGGGGATAGTTACAATTTATAAGCTACATGATCAATGCATGATAAAATCTAAAAAGGACTGGCTATAATATCTAGGAGCAAGCTTTTCATTAGGTTGTGATACTAAATACTATATATGATACGGTCTCAAGATACACCATACTGCCAACTCCAATTTTACGTTCTTGCAATGTTTATCATCTGTCAATTTCATCCTTTGTAGTGCACGACGAAAATGTATTTTAAGCACTCATCTCGCTGCACAAATTATTGCTCCACCTCGGAGTTCACCATCGACCCCTTCTTCAATTGTAATAGAGGAGACAATTCGTGACCATAGACAATTTGGAATGAAGTAAACTGAGATGAGGAGTGATAAGATGAATTGTACCAAAATTCTACTCAAAGCAGCCATTGCCACCCACCATTTTGGCCTAGTAGATGCGAAACAGCAAAAATAAGTCTCCAGGCTTCTATTGAGCATTTTTTACTGGTCATCTATTTGAGGGTGGTAGGCCGTAGATCGTTTCCACATTGTTCCTTGCAATCGGAACAAGTCTGACAAAAAATGACTCACAAAAACCTTGTCAAACCTTGTCTCTGTCAGATTGACTTAGGCATACCATCACAAACACCCCTGCCACTGAATGCGCTGTAAACAAACGTTCCTTAACCAATCAACCACTACCAAGATAGAATCCACTCCTTCCAACTTGAGAGCATCCCTTCAATGAAATCCATGATGTTGTCTTCCCAAACTTTCTGAGGTATGGCAAGTAGCTGTGGCAATCCTTCGGGTAAAAGTGTAAGATATTTGTTCCTTTGATATAAATTGCATTGGCGCACACATGTATGAATGGAAAACAGTACAAAGTAACCTAAACACCTATATCACTATACATGTATAAATCATGTTTACAATCTTAAGTTAGTCAAATAATTTAGCTACATAAATTTAACAAGAGATGTCATTTTTTTAAAGTGGTCCTCACTTTTCTCGGGAATCATTTGAGGCTTCCAAAGCCATTTAATGCACATATAAATAGTTCCAAAAAATCCAAAAAATGGAAATTAACCTTTCACAACAAACCAAACCTATTTAGGCCCTCATTATTGTTACATTTATCCGGCATAACTTGCCTAACTTTAAGATATTTGGAGTTAATGAAGCACTGACATGCATCAAATTGTTGCATCTTAAAGATCCACGCATCAGACATATACTATTTATTAAGATCAACTCATGGTATATACTAGTTATTCAATGATGAATCAATTGTATATACCAGGAATACTTGTTTGCATCCATTGGCCAATGGAATGAGTGTTGCTGGTTCCACCTGTTATAAACAAAAGAGCAAAGAATAACAAAATTAGAAGAGTAGTGATGAGACGGTAAATGTAAAAGCACAAAGAACAATATTCCGGAAATGTCAAGAAAGCATTATATAATAAGGCGAAAAGTGAAAGCTTAAGTAACATTTATCCAATTGGTTAAATTTGATCAAACTAATTATAAACATATATGGATAACATCAAATGAAGAATAGAAAACATGAGAGCAACAATATATCTACTAACAGCAACATCAACTGTATGAAGGTGAAAGAAATTAAAATCCATATTTTACGATCAATAATGTATCTTACAGCTTGAGCAGCTTCATCGATTATGACCACATCAAAACCACGATTTAATTTACTGAAGAGAGCTGAACCACTAAAGCTAAGTGTGGAGAGCACCTGTCAATGAACTTATACCCAAGTTACTTTTAACTATAAGCTTCAATTGAACCAAAGTTTCAAAGGTGTAATCTGAAAAGAGGCTCAAACTACATACAATCACTGCTTCATCCAGTATAGAAGCACGAATACTGTCTTTATCCTTCGCTGAACCCCCTTGCTTTTGCTTGTCACCAGTTTGAGAGTCCATACCAGCAAGTTTTTGTTCTACCTAAAAACATATCATTTGTGCTAAACTATATTGGACTGTTGAAATGCTGTGAAGACATAATCAGGTGATTATATAGCTTGTTAGTGGAAAGATAGCATACCAAGTAATCCATGGAGACCGCTTGGACAGAATGGTGAGGTTTAAGACCAATACGCACTATTTTAGGATTGTATGCATGATCATTTTCATCACGAATGCCTGCAACATAAACAAAGAAGCGGCTCTAATTACACACAAAAAATCTTTATTTCTTAGTGAAGAAACTGTGTTTGATTCAGGGTGTGCAAAGTTAGGTAAAACTGCATAAATCAACTAGTCAGTTCATATTAAATACCAAACCAGTATTCAGTTTTCACATGATATATCGGGGATGCCCTTCCTTTGATATTAACCACATCTTTCAAAAATGCAATTTCCATGAAAGGCAGTTCCACTTTCTTTTGAGTAAGTGTCATTTTCAAAAAGTGGCTTTCTTTGGGGAAGTGGCTAAAGTCAACCTTTTCAAACAGATTTCTTTCATTCTCAGTTTTCCACATTTTCACATTGAGTGTTTACCTCACTGACCCTCTTTTATTTGTTAACTCATACCAAATCCCAAAGCATTCTTATTTTCTTCGTAAGAACATCTGTCCCTTCCACCCCCACCCCCCACCTCTTCCAACTAACATGGAAGGAAAGGAGGTATCCTCTTGTTGACTAAAGAATGCAATCCTTCACCATTCATTGGGAACTTTCCCCTCGGAGTTGCTCTATTTTACAATAGTTCTCAGAGATTTTTACATTTTTTCTCCTAAAAAACTTGGAATCATGTAATGGTTGATTGAGGCAAAGAGAGAGCTCCCAATTATGATACAGATTTAAGAGTCAGCAAACAAGATTGCATCTATTCACATTCCCGAGCAAATTAGAATGCATTACATAAGGTAAATATTTGAAAATAGATTAAACTCTGACCAGTGTTTAGGAGACGCAGCACAATCTCGTCGAGAGCAGAATTTGATGGGGCACATACTAGAACACGAACGCGATATTTCCGACTGGAGTTAACCACTTCTGGTTTCTATATAGGAGTTTAAATGTTAATGTCAATATCCAAAATTATCCTGAATCACCAGTTTCAGAAATGAAATGGACATACCAAGTCATTGCCCGATGTCGGGAAGAATCCATCATCACCATTTATAGGCATCAATGCGTCTCGAGGATTCATACCAATCAACCATGGAGAAGCTCTTTCCCAGTGATTGTATCTGCAAATATCATAATATTATATCTTATGAATTGTTCCCCTTGGAAGACAATAGTAGTTGACATGTCAATGTATTTTGACTAGGAATTTTTTTTACTGCAGCTCTTTAGTAGAATAAACGCGTAAGAAATGGAGGAAAAAAAAACAAAAATTAAACTGTCAACTCGCCGTACAGCTTTGAGAATTCAAATGCCAATCAGTTGAGAAATGTAATTTCTCACAATAAAAATAAAATAAAATAAAAAGAAAAAAGAAATTGAGCAAGACAGCACAAGTCATCTTTGATATGATATTGAGAATTTTAGATATTTGTCCTTTCAGAAGATTGGGGTCAAGTCCATTTTCAAATGGTTCAAACCCCATGCAAATATCTAACAATAGAATAAACGTGGCATAAAGCTAATAATACATTTTTCTCCAAAGCAAGTTTCACACCAACCCTTTTATGAGGATGTTGGGAATAGAACAATTACATTAAATTTACGAGCATGCTGGGATCAACTCTTTTTCATTGATGCAACAAGGAAAGGCAAAAAGAAGCAACTAGTGGCATGCATAACCTTGATGTAAATCAAAAGGTGAGCTCCAACTTATGCAGTTCATATATGTTGCTCTTCCTGAATTTCGTTTCAACTCATGTATTTAAAATTTTAAACAAGACAAACTAACTTGATAAATTTATGCTTCATTTAGAAGAAAAAAAATTGCCTGATAATGGTTATTATCTTCACAAGAATCAAGATTAGCACTTTCATAGGGGTATTTCCCTTCCCACATTTTTTTTTTGTGGGAAATAACCAGTGAATCATGGGTAACGCAACAAGATGCATATAGAAGCCAGGGACACGTATTCATGAGAAGTACAGGCATTGAATAACAATCAAATAAGTGACTAGCAGCATAAACATACTTTTCACGGATAGGTAATTCTGGCCCACGTTTTACTTCAGTCATTTTGCCCCTGTGTACATAAAAAAAAAAAAAAAAAAAGAGAGACTAATTCATTACCAAATAAGAAATAGACTAATTCATTACCACATTGAGCTAAATGTACTCAGCAGTTGCTCTCTTCTACCAACAAATCTCAGTGACATAGCTAGAAGTTCAACAACAGTCCACTTCATCAATCAAAACAAAAACCGAAACGAAAAAAAGATGCTTACTTGTTTGATACTCTAGCTGGAGTAGCATGCAAAATGGCACTGAGGAGCCCAAGGATAGTTTGTGTTTTTCCCGTTCCTGGGGGGCCCTAAAAGGTAGCATGCTGTTAAAAGACATACCGAAAGGTAGTTGTTCCAAAGCATCCGTATTTATTTGTTAGGCACAATTTTTTTTAGCTATGAAATAATCTATGGCTGTTTCAGAACGCATCTTCAAATCGATGTGATTACAATAGTGTTGCCTACTGGAGTGATGGGATAATTAAATGAAAAATGACAACTAAAAGTCAAAATTAGAAGCAGAAGGTTACAAGTCAAACCTGTATCAAAACAAAGGTTTTACGTGAAAGACCGGCCTGCAACAAATTCAGAGGGGAGAGGAGCAAAGCTGTCAATTGTAAATACGCTACCAATTTAAAGAATAAAAAATGCAAGTAACTACAACAATATTTAACTATATGCACTTATATCAATATGACAGCTCCATTTCATCTTGAATTGACAAAAGGAACTCAACCTCGCTGAGAGGGCAAGAAATCAACTTTAGGGTGAGTTGCTAAGCACTCACCTGTATGGCCTCTAGCTGCGATTTGTTGTGATTGCCTTCAATAAATGCTGTTAGGGGTTTAGATATTTTCCAGGCTTGATCTTCAGTAGTATAATTGCTCTCAGCCGCAGTTAAAATCAAATCCTTAAATGGGAGGGAGCTAACTGACCGCATCGCAACATATTCACGGACTATAGTTGATAAGCTGCAAATCTGTGCATCGAATTACAAGATGAAGAAAAAAAAATAGAGTTAGGAATTCAATTTTGCATGTCTTTGAACGCCTACGTTGTATTCTAGTCCATACAGAACGAAAAAAAAATAACAGGAGCTAAATCACCATGACCAAAGTAATTAATAGAGCATAAAAGTATCTCTTTTTCCTAATAGCAAGTAGATAAACACAATACTGCTGAAAATGAGAAAGAAACTCAGTCATCTTATAAAGCCACTGGGACGCAGTTTCCCATGAAACTAAGAAAGATGTTGCAGTCCATCCATAACAAAAGCAAACCTAATAAAAATTTCTTGACAAACTCGAAGGGACACAGTTTCTCATGAACATGAGCCTACACATTAAATTTGTACATCATCAAAGGGAAAATTATTTGTAAGATTGAATCTCAAGTTCCAAGGAAAACTTTTACAGCAGCACTGATAAAAACTACTTCTCTAAAGACCAACTTAACTAATTGGAAAATAAATTCTCCTTTATGTTCCCGGGCTGATCATAATTGGTTAATTTCTGCAGTCTTTTATAGAGGGAATTGCCAAATAAACTACTTTTGAATATTAAAGGGAGTAAATTTGACTCAACTTCACGAAGCTTTGCCCATAAATATATTATTTCATATAGTCCATTGAACGCTGGCACAACATCTACTTAAATATTGATGTGAAACTGGCACAAATTATACATACAGAACATGGCAACATGATAAACGAAAAAAGCTAACATCAGTATGAGCTCCAATTTTTAACATTAGAGAGGTCTCTTATTCAGGTCACAAGTAGCTTTAAATCCACAAGATCTTCAGTGGAGTTACATCAAAAATTTCTCGCATTTTCGCAAATCGTTTGCCACAAGCTGTAATGGAGAACACGGACTCTGCAACTAACGGTTTAACAGTAAGACAACAATGAAATAGAATTACTTGCACATAGAACTCATTTTTGTAACTTAAAGAGTTCCAAATGAATTTGGAAGATTCACCTTCAGAATGTACAAGTATTTCTGAACTTCACTCACAAGAGGGCGCATGTTCAACAGCCTTGAAGAAGTTTGAACATCATCTGTACTTAATCCTTTGAGTTCTCCACTTAAATTCAGCCGAAGTTTTATTTTATCATGTTGACAATGCTCAACTAGTGCAAAAGCATATGCAGTCGGGAGTACTTTACCCTCACCAATCTGCAAAATCAATAAAGCATTCAACACACTCAAAAATTAATATTTTGACTTATCTAATCAAACTATTAAAATCTCCAGTTCACAATGAACATATATTACTAGATTAGGGATAAATACGTAGACCTGTTTGATGTAGCTAAAAATCAGATTTTTAATAGATTTTGATAGAAGTCGATGAAATGTGTGGTTGAAAAGTTGTTGGTTCCATGAAATGTGCATTTAAAATTAATTGCTGACTTTGATTTTAATTTTTAAGCTAACACCAAACAAGGGCAATAGAAGTTTCACAAATGAACGGAAAGCATAGAACTGAATGTCAGTCTAATCTACTTAATTCCAAATCACTACATGAAAGCAGAAATTGATACACAGCCAACTCCTACCTTCTTATTAGAAAGCAGCAATAGATCATTCTGTGATATGGATTTTGAGTCTGAACATATAACCATAGGTAAATAAAAATCATTGACTTCGCTGCATTCTGCTATAATTGCTTGTTGCCATTCGGTTTCTGTATAGACAAAAAGCACCTATTACATATACGTGTCAATTTTATACACAAAAAGAAAAAAAAAAAAAAAAAATTGATCCAAAAACATCAATTCGATATTTATTGAAATTATAAGTCAAACTTGTATACATTAAACTAAATACACTGATACACTCACATTCAAAATCAATTTCACTTAAGCCGCCGAAAATCATAAATTTATCATGGGTCAACTGGAAACTCCAGGGAAACAACTATATAAACTGAAAACATCTGAAAAAAATACCGTCTTCCTCCTCTTTTCCCTGGACAATCTGAGCTTTGACTTCTTCGAAAAGCAGGGGCTCAAACGTTGAGAGATAATCATCAACATCTTTGTACGAACTCTTCACTTCCTTCAATCCCAGAGCACTCCCGTCCCCAATCTTTTTATTGAAATTCTTCTTCTAAATAAGTCAATAGAATAAAAATCACAAAGAATGCACAACACATACGCAAAAACAACCACATATATATATTTTTATAACTGCTACATTCGAATCTAATACAGATACCCTAATATTAGTCCTAAAATGTTAGTGTATATAGTATAAACCTAAAAAATAAAAAATTGAACACAGTACATTGGATTCCTTGAGTAGACGAAGGTAATCCCAGCTAAGGACAATTTTGTAGAAGCGGAGAACGCAGGCTTCTTCCTCAAGCCGGTTTTTGTCCACCGCCATTTCTCACAGCCCACAGGCGGTACACAATTGTCCCGCACCCGGGAGGGTGTTGGAGCTGCAGAGTCTGGAGGTTTTTTGTTCTTAAAAATTAAAATCAGGGTTTTAGGGGAAGAGGGGATGTGTATATTATAAACGCAATTTGTTAGGGTTTAATGAAATGAGTAATATATTTATTTTAATTCCCCACTAAATCAAAATTAATTTTGATACTGTATTTCATTAAAGAGTAATTAGCACGTCCTCATCTTTCTATTTTATTGTGAAAAACGTTCTTACCTTTTATGTTTTGACATTTTCACCCTTATTTTCACATTTCATTGCGCAAAATGTGATTTCTATATATTTTCTCAATTAAAAATTGTGAAATGGCGAAAATACATTTCCCATTAAATAAAGTAAAAAAAAAAAAATCAATTGCAAACAGTCCCAACTTTTTTGAAAAGTGCAAATGAGTCCCAAATAAATTATTAAAGAATTAGAAATTAAAAAAAAATATTTTTTTATATACTTTTTTTTTAAATAGGAGGGTATATTCATCATTTCATAATTTTTTATTGAGAAATTGGATGGAAATGACGGTTTGCGCAATCAAACGTGTAATTAAGGGTGAAAATGATAAAAAAAAAAAAA